ATAAAAGATGAAGAAACGGATCACCAGTTCCAAATCGAATTTACAAAAAAGAAATAATTCAAGGATAGCTAAACTGTTTTCGATGATTTTGGCTTAAATAAGTTCTAAGATTCTAAGTATTCATTTAAATCCAAAATCATCAAAAAAGGACATCTGTTCTCGGGATATCCCATTATTTGATAACGCATTTACTGTGAAATCGGCCATGAATAGCTGCTAATATCTCAGATCAATACAATGAATTGCGGTATTCAACTCCATTGAAAACAATTTATCTGCTAGTTGTTCTCGAATTACAAAAAATTCCGGATAATATAATTTACTGGTTAATCCGTCTTGATCAACGTAGTTGCTCAACTAGGGTGTTCTCAAGTAGCATATTCAATGAATTAGCTAGTGATCGTAATGGTGCTCATCCGTTATGGTAAAATTTAATTAGGTCTTTGTTAAAGATCAATAGAACGAATGATGATGTAATTGGAGTATTCTCATGTATCTTTCTCAATGTGATTAACTTGTAATTGTGTTTACGTTCAATCGCTGCAATAATTGAAATATCGATTTCAATTTATGGATGTGCAAATACTTTTATTATTACTATCTTATCGTTACCTTTAAAAAATTATTGCTTTTACAAAATTCTAATAATAATAAATAAATAAATAAAAAAAGATGATGAACCAACAGAAAGACCAAAACCCCATGTTAGTAGTTCCAGTTTTTATTTCGCCTTTTCAGACTTCACCAACTTTCATATTTGCTACAGCAAAACCAGCAGACTCAACTTTTTCTGGATCCTTTAGCCACATAAATAAACTAGATGTTGAACGCGAAGAAGTAATAAATATAAAAATTTTTGATGTAAATTCGCTTTTAACTTCGGTTGACGTTGAGCCATTACATCTTGTGAAGGAAGGATGAATGGCATGGTTGTATTTAGTGTCATAGAATAAAGACCAGAATATAATAAATATTGGTAATTTGTGAGATTTCAGCTTCCTTTTTTTTTACTCGTAGCGAAAAGTTTTTAGCATAAGCGCTTGGGGTGTACAACAACTTTCTTATTACAGACATAGTGCAGGTCATATAATGATGATCACTAATCAAGATTTTTTAGCGTATTGTTAATTTAATAGTAAAAACATAGAAAGTTCAAACTACAATAGCTCTTGAACAAGCAAATCCACACAAATAAAATTATATTTGTCGAATTTGATAAATAGAAAAACTCATGAGCTGTAACTCTGGTCAAATTTGCAGATCGTTTGACCTGGTTTGAAATTATTTGACTTCAAAGCTGGTCAAATGATCTGCAAATTTGACCAGAGTTACGGCTCGTTTTTTTTTTATTTATCATCCGCCGATATGTTCGAATTTTATATGCATATCGTTACACAATTTGCAATAGCTACGTTTTTGATATTTTTATTAAAAATAAATCAAAAACGAGAAATTTGGTATTATGTTATCCCCGCTACGCTCCAGACAATAAAAATAAAAAAAGAGCGTTGATACTTTAAAGAGTACAAAAATGAACTCGACAAAGTTATTGCAATCTAAATTTTATATTTATGCTACGCCACCGCTAATTATAACAGAAAAAAATTAGGGGACCCGCCATGAAAATCCTTTTAAAATTTAGAGGTTTTTTTAAAACTTCAAACCAATATTTCTCGATGAATACTTAACTAATTTCAGCAAATGTTTTTTTTTTTAAAAAAAAAAAATCCCATAAGTTAATAGAATTAAAATAAATTTTTTTTTATCGAATTTAGTTAGGCAGTCATTGAGAAAACCTCGCTTAAAGCTTGAAAAAAAGGGTTAAAATCTTTGAAAAAATTAAAAAGGCATAGTAAAATTTTTTTTTTCAACTTTAAGCGAAGATTTCTCAACGATTATAACCAAATTTGATGAAAATTTTTTTATTTTAATTCTACATGTTTGTAGAATCTAAATTTATCAAATTTTGTTATGTAGTCACTGAGAAAAAAATTTCCGCAGTTTCTTTTTTATAGGCACAAAAACCTTAAGCGATGTTTTCTTGATGAATATCTACCCAAACTCGATGAAATTTTTTATTTTAATTATATAGGATTGCAAAATTAGAAAAAAAAAACATAGAAGTTGGTTAGATATTCATCGAGAAAACTTCGCTTAACCTATAAAAAGAAGCTGCGGCAAATTTTTTTAAACTTTAAATAAATATTTCTCAGTGAATACATAACCAAATTTGATAATTTTTTTTTATTTCGATTCTACAAACACGCAGAATTGAAATAAAAATTCCATCAAATTTACACCGAGAAATTTTAGTTTAAATTAAAAAGAAATTTATTCTTCTTTTTCTTGGGCTCGAAATTTTTTTAAGCTTTAAACTAAAATTTCTCGATGAAGACATGATCAAATTTGATGAATTTTTTTTTATTTTAATTCTACGTGTTTGTAGAATCGAAATAAAAAAATTATCAAATTTAGTTATGTAGTTACAGAGAAATATTTATTTAATGTTTAAAAAAAATTTTGCCACAGCTTTTTTTTTATGGATACTAAAATTTTAAGCGAAAGTTTTTCGATGAATATCTAACCAAATTCTATGAAATTTTTTATTTAATTTTATAATCCTATACAATTAAAATAAAAAAAATTTGTTAGACATTCATCGAGAAAACTTCGCTTAAAGTTTTAGTACCTATAAAAAAGGGTTATCTGATTTACAATGGAGTCTACACAATTTGCTGAGTTGAGTACGTTGATAATTTTTGTTGAGTACGTCAATAATTCTGAGCTTGTCTGAGTTGAATATGATTGAATACGATTATCTACTTAATAAATATTAATTAACTATAATATTAATAAATTATAATATAATGCAATCTATTAAAAAAAAATTAATTAAAAACATGTAACAACTAATCGTAACTAATTTTAATGATTGATCGGTCTCTATAAAATCAGTAGGATTTTTTATTTTTTTTAACAATGTGTAGCAATAAAAGTTTTATATCTTTATTATTTAATCTATGCTTTCTTACTACAAATCGCTTTTACCCACATTGTATTATCTCATATAATCCCAAAACATACATATATACACACATGTAAATATGAATGTGTATTCGAGCATTAGTCTTTTGAATCATTAAGTTAGGTCATTTTTGGCAGTGAATATGTGAATATAGATTCAAAGTTAACATGATATTATTCTAAGCGAATAGTTGTAGCAGTTATTAAAGCAGAGTATAAAGATGCTGTAAAATTAGTTAACAAATTTATTTTATTAAATTATAAATAACTTTAATTATATAGCTCTAATTTATTATTTATACAATATTATATATTTATTTGGTTTTATTATATTTATATTGTAAAGAATTTTTTATTTAATAATAAGAATTTAAGATTTTTATTTTATGATATTCAATTTTGCATTTTTATTAATTAGTTATATGTTTACAAGTGCTATACTTAAAGGCCTAATTCCTGTTTAAGTTTAAGAATTTCTAATTTTTCTTTTTCAAGTTTTAATTCCCGTTCTTCTAATTCTAATTTTTTTTCTTTTAAAAAAAGAACCTTCTCTTCTTTTTCTAAATCAAATTCAGCTAATGCATCTGTTAAATCTTGAGAACTTTCAATATTTTTAATTTTTTTTGCTCTTCTTGATTTAGTAGATGATTCCGCTTTACTAACAGAATTAGCTCTTTTTTTTGCTACAAAAAAAATAAATAATATTTAATATAATATTTAGTATTAAATTATTATTAATACATATATTAATAAAAAATAAAATTAAACTTCTTACTGACGAACTTCCAGCACCTCATACATTGCATAAAAGAAACTCACTTTATCCTAATACTTGCCACATATGTCATCAAACTAGCACTACATTACACTGGGCTATATGCTCTTCACCTAACCCTATTTACATACTCATTAAAAATTCTTTACAACAAACCATAACTGCTAACAAACTTCAAATATCATCATTACAAATTAACTTGTTACATAACTGAATTATCAATCTTGATAGTCTTCTAATACACAATCTGCCTAACAAACCTTCTATTTTATCTACACTTTCTGGTCTCATTCCACTTGACATTATACATACAATATGTGAATTCACTACATCCAATCAAGCAGCCAACTCAATCTCTATACAATTTCTTCTTCATATTAACAAACAATTGTACTCAAATATCTGGATCCCTTATTGTAGTTCAAGATTCCAACCCCAGCTAACACAGCCTCAGTTATCTTTTACACCAGCACTTTTTAGAGATACACTTTCTATTTCTAACACATTTGATATCACTCTTTAAATATCTTTCTTAAAAGTATTATCTTGGTACACTAACTAGATTAAATACCATACACACCCTTCTTACATTTTTAATTTATTTCAACTCTAGATAAGCTTTGGCCACTCTGGTAGGTTTAGGTCACAGATAAATATTTAGATTATCTATTAGTTTTTTTTAGATGTCTGAGTTTTTATTCTTAGCACTAGGCTTAAAATTTAAAACCTTTTTCAATTATGTAAAAAGTTTTCATTAAGTTTAATA